AAGGAGGAGGAGGACCAGAGTAAACCCAAGAGTCATCAATGAGATAGTAATAAACCCTCCCTCCAAGCTCACTCTGCATAGGCCCCTACGACGGCTCATTTCCATTGAGGGAGTTGCCTCATTGGAAGACAACTGGTTTAAGACCCTGCAGCATGCCAAAACATTATTCTCGGGCTTCCAACGCCACGGATCAACCTGACTTTTGCGTCTTGTCAATCCTGAATCGTGCCAGAACGCCATTCCTTGGGACTTCAACACCGCGAACCAACGTAACTGTTGCAACCGCAAAATCCGGAATCCGTCCACAAGACGATGCTTGGTACGTTGACCATGGAAATCCGTGATACCCTTGTAACTTTTAAAACGAGTGTACGCGGCGCTAAGGCGAGAGCCACATTTTGAAAAGGAGCCGCCCTTAATCCGTGAAGCTCTTGCACATAAAACGACCGTGCCCGGCGCTAAGGCGAGAGCCACATTTTGAATACGATTCGCCCTCTATCGCGGAACGCTTGCAATTTTCTAAAACGACTGCGCGCGGCACTAAAGCGAGAGCCACATGTTGAAAACGGCCCGATCTCCGTCTGTGAACCTATTGTCAGTTTTTAAGATTCAGAAATCTCAAGCGAAACGCTCGGCCCGCCCTAATAAACTGGTCTCGGGGTGCGACAGGGAGAAGTTCTGCATAAGGAAAAGGACAAATAATGGAGGAGGGAGGAGGGAGGAGGGAGGAGGAGGGCGAGAGGAGGGAGGCGGGAGGAGGGAGGGAGGAGGATGAGGGTGGAGGGAGGGAGGGGAGGGAGGATGAGGGAGGCGGAGGAGGGAGGAGGTGGAGGGAGGAGGGAGGAGAGAGAAGGGAGGAGGAGCAGGGACGAGGGAGGAGCGAGGAGAGGAGGGAGGAAGGAGGAGGGAGGAGGGAGCAGGGAGGAGGGAGGAGAGAGGAGGAGAGGGAGGAGGGAGGAGAGAGGAAGGGAGGGAGGGAGGGATGAGGGAGGAGGAAGGAGGCCGAGCGCAGTGTGGAAAAAAGCGGTCGTTACTACGCTGAATCCTTCTGGATTTTTTTGGGGAGGAGGACGAAGGGAGGAGGAGGATGAGAGAGAAGAGAGAGAGAGAGAGAGAGAGAGAGAGAGAAAGAGAGAGAGAGAGAGAGAGCGAGAGATCTAGAGAGACACAAACAAGAGAGAGAGAGAGAGAGATACTGAGAGAGAGAGAGAGAGAGAGCTGACGGAGGTAGGGGACCAGGATGACAACGAGGATGACAACAAGGAGGAGGACAATGATGATGATGATGCTGCTGCTGCTGCTGATGAGAACGAGGATGAGGATGAGGATGATGGTGATGGTGATGCTGATGCTGATGATGATGACGATGAGGATGACGATGACGATGACGATGACGAAGATGAAGATGATGATGATGATGATGATGATGATGATGATGATGATGATGATGATGCTGATGATGTTGATGATGATGACGATGATGATGATGGTGATGATGATGTTTATGACGCTGCTGATGCTGATGATGCTTAGGATGCTGCTGCTGATGATCAGGATGCTGTTGCTGTTGATGCTGATTCTGATGATGATGATGATGATGATGATGATGATGATGATGATGATGATGCTGATGTGGACGATGATGTTGATGATGGTGATGCTGATGCTGCTGATGCTACTGATGATGCTGATGATGCTGCTGATGGTGATGATGCTGACGTTGATGCTGCTGCTGATGATGCTGGTGATGATGACGATGATGCTGATGCAGATAATGCTGATGATGATGACGATGATGCTGATGATGATGATGATGATGAGATGATGATGATGATGATGATGATGATGATGATGATGATGATGATGATGATGATGATGATGATGATGATGCTGATGAGGATGATGATGAGGATGTCGATGATGATGCTGCTACTGCTGATGATGATGATGCTCATGCTGATGCCGATGACGCTGGTGGTGGTGGTGATGATACTGCTGCTGATGATGAGGAGGACGAGGGGACGAGGAAGACGAGGAGGATGAGGAAGAGGAGGAAGAGGAGGAAGGCGAACATAATGAGGTTGCCTACGACGAATATGGAATTGTAGCGCCTACTCAGCCGCTGCTCCCTCCCTCCTTCTTTCCCAAGGTACCTACAAAAGGCCACGAGGCCTCCGAAAGGACCGCAACACAACCCAAACGACATGTTTCCCGAGAGCCTGCTGGAAACATTATTGTCGCGTCCATTCGCATGATGATGAGGAGGAGGAACCATGACACTACCCGAGACGTAGCCCAAGCTCTTCTCCACGCAAAGAGGGCAGAGGACTATTAAAGTAATGCTGTGTACAAGCGAACACATAGAGAGTTACGCAGCACTCTTGTGCACGAATATACTGTCAGTTGTGCGGTTGGCTGCTTCACTGTGAGCAGGGAAGTCTCGTCTGGGTGCTCGGTGCCCCCCGATCTCGGCGGTGACAGTTGCGCAGATCGCGCCAAGGAGCAGCGAGATTCCCGTCTGGGTGCGCGTGCCCCCCCGACTCCGCTGGACCTCCCAGGAGCCCACGAAAATGGGGACAGTTGCGCAGATCGCAGCCACCCAGGGAGCAGCGAGGTCCCGTCAGGGTGCGCGTGGCCCCCGACTCCGCTGGACCTCCCAGGGTTCCACGAAAGTGGCGACAGTTGCGCAGTTCGCAGCCGCCCAAAGGGAGCAACAAGGTTCCCGTCTGGGTGCGCGTGCACCCCGACTCCGCTGGACATCCCAGAAGCGCATGAATGTGGCGACAGTTGCGCAGTTCGCAGCAACCCAAGGTACAGCGAGATCTCCTCTGTGTGCGCATGCCCCCCGATTCTGCTGGACCTCCCGGGAATCCACGAAACTGGTGACAGTTGCGCAGTTCGAAGCCACCCAGGTAGCAGCGAGGTCTCTTCTGAGCGATGCTAGAAATCGTCTCGACTGCGACGACATTGGCGCGTAAGCTATTCGCGTAAGGTCGCTACGTCATCTCGCGTAAGACCTGTTTTTGAGCGTCGCTCATCTGGGTGCGCGTGCCCCCCGACTCCGCTGGACCTCCCAAGGGCCCAGAAGGTGGCGACACATGCGCAGATCGAAGCCACCCATGGAGCAGCGAGGTCCCGTCAGGGTGCGCGTGGCCCCCGACTCCGTTGGACCTCTCAGGGTTCCACGAAACTGGTGACGGTTGTGCAGTTCACAGCCACTTAAGGAGCAGCGCAGGAGGAGGCGGCAGGAGGAAATGAAGAGAGGAGGCCACGGTGCTCTATTCAAAACGATAACCCAGCACAGAAGGGTTTGGGAAACATGAGGAAGCGGAGGAAAGGGACAAAGTAATAATTTCATATACATCCGCTGATCCATCCCTCGTTCCCTTTCCCGTTCCCTCCTTTTGTGCCTCCCATGCTTCCCTGCTTCCCTTCTACCCTACCCCCCCCCTCCTCTCTCCTTCTCTACAATAGCACAATCTGAATACTACTCTCCTCTATCCCCTGATGACGTCCAGAAGATAACTGCCCCCCCTCCGCGTATTGTTTTTTACACAGGATTCCCGGGAAATGGGTTTTCGCTTGGGTTTTGTTTCAAAATGTTGCTCCCGCTGAAGCGTTGGCCTCATTTTCGGGCTTCGCTCGTTCCGAATCGTGCTCCTGCTGCAGCGCTGGCCTCATTTCCGCGCTTCCGCTCGTTCCGAATCGTGCTGCCGCTGCAGCGCTGGCTTTCCTTCCAAATAGGCCTCAGAATCTAGAACATGCCCCCGCGGAAAAAAACATCGGGAGTGATTACACATTCGATGCCGATTCGTTGTTTTTGTTTGGCCGCAGAAGCCCCCTCACCTTTTAGGGCGTCGTCGTTTTCAGGACGTATTAAGCGGGAGCGCCGTTTCTGCTTTGAGAAAGCGATGTCGTAAGCAGAGCCAGCGGGTGCTCTCCATCAGCCCCGCCTTGTGTGGAATTTTTCCGGGAGCCCATGGAGATAGACATGGAGCCACGACTCCAGACCGGCCCAGACCTCGAAGACGATCCATTTACCCTCGAACCTGGCGCCATGCCATGACATGCTGTGCGGTGTTGTGTTCTGCGCCTCTGTGCGATGCCATGCTTTGCGTTGCAATACTTTGTGATTCAATGCTTCACTGCGCAATGTTACGCCATGCTATGGCATGCTACGATCTGCCGTGCTCTTCTAAGCCATGCCATGCCATGCTCTACCATGCATCGCGTACCCTCTCGCGATCATTGCCCTGCTCGAGATTCGACTGTGCGAGTAGAGAGGAGATCTACGCCATGGCAAGGGATGGGAGGGAAGGGCAGGGCGTCAGATATGACGCGAGCGCGCCTAGCTTACCCTCCCCCGCTCTCCCCCTTGCCGCGACCACGACGACGCCGACGACACCGTCGACGCCGACGGCCCCATTCCCGCGCTCGTGGTCTCCAGGATTGCATGCTTGCCATGGGAGTGGATGAGAATAATGATGAAGATGGGGATGAGCATGTGGTTTTCGGAGGTCCCTAGAACCTCAGCGTTGCCTAGAACCTCAGCGCGCGCGTAACGGGTCAACGTGGCTGTAGTACATGTCGATTCACGCATCGATTATTCTCTCGGACTCCCTGCCTACATTTATTTTTTTGTTCACTCTCTTTTTTGTTCCTCCTATTTTTCTCCCATTCACCATTTTTCTGGTATCGTTTCTTTGTTGTTTATTGTATCTCGCTCACACTCTCTCTTTCTCCTTCCCTTATCTCTCGTTCTCTTTCTCTTTCTCTCGTTCTCGCGCGCGCTCTCTCTCCCTGTGTGAACCCTTCCTCTCTTTCTTTCTGACTGTCCGCGTTTTTTTTTTTTTTTTTTTTTTTTCTCTCTCTCTCTCTCTCTCTCTCTCTCTCCCCCTCCCCATCGCCGTCGGGCCGCTTGTTTCGCCGCCCCCCGCCACCAGGAGAGCATGGAGTCGTGGAAATTGCAAGTGCAGAGCCAGCTGCGCGCGGAGCGGGAA